TTTAATTTGGAAAACCTATGTAACAGTGACAGCAAAGTAGTTTGACGTCCTTTACTGTTACAGTGTTAGGACCCATCTAACCATGTCTGTTAATGCTGGTTTTACAAAAGTGAGAGCACACAGATTTGGTGAATAAATATTTAAAATTATTATGTCAATTTTGTGTGTGCATGTACTTGTGTACACATGTGTGAAAGCCAGAAGCCAACCCTATATACTCTTTTTCAGATACTGTTCATCACTTTTTGTGAAGACAGTTTCTCACTTGTAAGTCTCTACCTCCCCAGCACTGGGATTACAAGTGTGCAACTCTACACCTGTAATTGAGTCGGTGGTTTTGAGCATCTTACTGATCTCTTCATGCTCACAAAGCAAGAGCTTTACCAACCCAGCCATCTCCTCAACCGCATCCTCTTGATTAACTCTTACTTTCTTCATATGTCATGTCCTTCTTTGTATCTTTAGGCTTATTTTTAATTCTCCTATGTCAGATATGGAAATTGCTACACCAACTTGTTTATGGCTTCAGTAGTTTGGTAGGTTGATTTCTATCTCTCGATGCTCAGTTTTTTTGATGTCTTTGACAGTGAGGCACATTTCTTGGAGACAGCTGGATCTTGTTTTTGAATTCAGTCATGTAACATCCATCCTTAGTTGGTGAGCTAAAGACATTTGAATTCAAGGTTATTATTGTGCTAGATCTTTCTACATGCAGGGCTTGGTGGTTGAGGCTGTGGGGGCTGGGATTGAAGTCCCACTCACCTGAGATACTTTGACACACTGTCAGGATACTGCTCTGGGACCCACAGCATTCTTCCAGTGACCCTGTCCAAGTCATTCAGGAAATAGAGGGGAAGAGGTTTTGTTGTTTTTTTCCTGGTGAATTTCTTCCTGGTCTCAGTGTCTGGTTCTTTAGCCATACACCTGCTTCTCTAATGCCTACCCTGCTCCATTTCTCTATAAGTAAACGTTATCTTGGCTCTGGTAGAGTCCCAGGCTCTTCTGCTTCTCAGGGGACATTCGAAAGGGAGCAGATTGTTGGCAGGTGCAGCTGGCAACAGTTGGCAGAAACAGCATGGTGGAGCTGGGCACCACTGCAACTTGGCTGCTACTTTGAAATCTCTTCCTTGGCTCATTTCTGCTTTCTTTAGCTCCTTCTCTGGCACACGAAAACCATCTACATTGTTTTCATCTATACTTTTGTTGGGTGTACCTTCTAGTTAGCCATCATACGTGGAGGCTCCTAATCATACTTTCCAAGAGCCTAAAAATTCTGTGCCTAATTCCTTTAATATGTATCAGCTGTTATGAGCTTGAATTGCTTGACATTTCATAGTTATCAAATATATTCAGTGGAATTTATTTAATCTTCTCTGTTATGCTGTACTTTCATAAATCTTTATTCTCATTTTACAAATATAAAAAAACAATTCATACACATGAAATGCTTTGCCCATTAAAAGCCATCTAATTGAAAAGTGACTTGCAGGCCACTCAAACGCTAGGTCTTTCTCAGAAAGATCAAATAATTTTTTATCAGTCTAATGGAGATCTTGTATAATTAGTATAATATTTGAAGTGAATAATTAATATCCATGGTTATTTATATGAAATTAGTTTCTATATTCTGGCAAGAACTAAATCCTTAAGCAACGAGATGGGTTTGAAAGATGTGGGGATGTGGGGGATTCCGATGGTGAGGCTGATATTTGGAGGCTCAGCTTGACAGGCTTACAGGTACCTGGCTCTATTTGAGGTCAGATGGTACCATCTAGTCCAGCAGTTCTCAACCCATAGGTCATGATCACTACCCCTTTGGGGGTCAAACAACCCCTCACAGCGGCCATGTATCAAATATCCTGCATATCAGATGTTTACATTATGGTTCGTAACAGTAGTAAAATTGCAGGTATGAAGTAGCAATGAATATTTGGTTGGGGGTCACCACAACATGAGGAACTCTACTAAAGGGCAGCAGCATCAAGAGGGCTGAGAACCATTGCTCTAGACCCCTTGAGAATCATTCCAGTGCTGTATGGGCTCTGAAGCTCACATTCAGACTTTTATGGACTTGTCAGCCGAGGGTAGGGACAAGAAGTGCTGGAATTGAACTCTGATCCCTTTCATTTTCGTAAAGGCCTGCTTCCCTTGACTTTTTGTCTCTTAGTATGAGATAAGCTGATATGGAACTGATAGGTGCTGTTAGAGTTAATGGAAGCTCTCTCCCGAAACTACCCAAAGACTGAGAGCCATTTGGCTACTCTATTTTTGGGTGGCTATTATCTCCAACTTTTCTCCTAGGTCGCTTCTTAAATCTTACTTGAATTTTCCTCAGCTGTCAAGTCTATTTCTGGGAACTATTTCCTCCTCTGATTTTTGGAGTTTTGAAATATTGCAGGGTCCTGAGATATGTAACACCTAGCACCATGTTTTTGGTGCTCCTGTAAGTTATCCCAGTCTAAGCTGCAGCTTCAGCCTTCCACATTCTCGAGTCTTCTGCTCACAAGTGCTTCCACTCCTGCTTATTTGTGTCATTTTTGCAAATGCCATCATTTCCCTTAGGCAGCTTCAGAGTTGCAATAGTTGCTATTGGAAGCTTTTGATATAACCAAAGTTCTTTATCTGAAATGTGCCTTGGAACAAAATTTCAAATATCCAGTGGTCTGTCCTCCCAGTCTCCTGCCTGCCATGAAATGAAATTCAGATTTCAAAATTATATACGTAATATATTCCCGAACTGTCTTTTTTGCATCTCCCTTTTCACCACTCAAACTCAGTAGCTTTTAGCATAAAATTACTGTGCTTTCTTCTTATGCCCTGTACACTCCTGTCGTGCTCTGCCTCAGTCTCCTCGTGTGGTCAGTTTCTCATTCCTCTTCCACCGTTTTTAAGATGCTGTATTCTTCAAAACCAAGAACAACCTTTAGAGTTGGTTGAAGCCCTGACTTTCTCAGAGTTCAGAGCCATTTTAAAAGGTTCACTTTGGTGGTTTGAAAGAAAATGCCCCCCCAAAGTGGCACTAATAGGAGGTGTGGACCTTTGAAGTAGGTGTGGTCTTACTGGAGGAAGTGTGTCACTATGGAGGCAGGATTTGAGGTCTTTCATGTATTCTCAAGATACCAATGTCTCAGCCCACTTCCTGTTGCTTCCAGATCAAGATGTAGAACTCTTAGCTATCTCTCCAGCAGCATGTCTGCCTTCGAGCCACCATGTCCTGCCATGATGACAGTGGACTAAACCTCTGATAGTTAAATGTTTTTCCTTTATAAGAGTTGCCATAGTCATGGTGTCTCTTAACAGCAATAGAAACCCTGACTAAGATATTCACCAACGCCTAGATAGGGTGGAGAACAAGTTTTGGAGAACATGGGGCAGTTTAACAACCCCTTTTTCAGCCAGGAGTACGAGAGCTGTGTCAGCTGGTTTGCATGTTAGCATGAATCTCTGATTGATAAATTATGAAAGGCTGAATGGAATGGATAAACCTGAGTGAGTTGCACAGGAGTATGGGCAGCAGGTGTGGGGGGATTTAGAAAAGCTTAGATTATGGTCAGTGTTTTAGAGGCTACTCCCAAAGTATTTTCTATGAGGTTAGACCCAACCCAGTTCTGAGAATATAGAAAAGATGAGCTAATGGAAGTCCTCACTCCATGATATATTTAGAGAGAAGTTAGGAAAGCATTGCAAGCATGGGAAATTGCAACTTCCTTCTTTCTTTTTGTGAATGGCCTGAATCCCAAATAGAAGATTAAATATTAAGTGTCAAGTCTAATGGGGAGAAGCCTGCTGTCAGAATTCTGCCTTAGAATACAGAACAGATTAATGCGTTTAATCATTGTATTTAGTTGGGACTCACTAGATAAATAAACCCAATAGCTACCTGGACTTATGATGAGGTATAGGTTCATTTCACCTTATAGGCTAAGAACTCCTATGATCTGTCATCTAGAGACTCAGGAGGGTCGGCAGTGTAATTCTGGCTGTGGGCTACAGTTGTGAGATGACATTTCTAAGCCAAAGGCACTGTCAGGTAGCAGAAAGGAGTGAAATCTGCCTTCCATCTTCTCTTCTATGTAGTCCTTTGAAGATATGTTAAGTGAATCTTGGTTCAAATGCTAAACTCATGCTAAGATATTCTCACAGATACACTAGGCCTATCAACATGGACAATCAAGATGGCACATAAAATCAACCATTTGGACTGCGGGATAAGATGATAGGTTAGAAATCATGTCCTAGTAAGTGAATGAATCTAGTTTGGGAAACAGAAGGATCAAGTCTGCTGTGTCTTGGACTCGTACTGTTCCTTCCCACTCTATAACTCATCAAGTGACCAGTATTTGCCCGATGTGCCAGTGCTCTTCTCCTGCAATTGAATTGGCACATGTAGCCTCAGCTGCCACCTCAGCTAGCAAAGGCACTCTGTGGCTCTTTCTGAAATGCTACTTCTAATAAACTGCCTGCAGAAACTGCACTTCCAGTGATCTTGTACAACAAAGGCATCCCTAGTGACTGCTGCCCCTGGGATGAGCCACTGCTGTCACTGCAGCCATCCCCATCATGATTTTTATGGATACAGGTGCCATCGAACTAGGATCACTTCAGCCACCAGAAACCATGGGCCAGCATCAACTGTGCTTGAGTGTAAACTTGAAGGTGTGATGCTGCAACGATAAACGGCACACTTACTGAAAGTAAAACTAAGTATTCATTGTAGAAATTACTCACAAGAGACAAAACAAGTAACCCAGATGAGCCGATTAGTTTTCCACCGCTGAACTAGAAGCCGAAAGCCGGAAAAAGAGAACTAGACTTCCGCTGTTCAGTCTTTTATACCTTCCTCCGTAATGCCCCTAGCCATGCCCAAAAGTGGGCCTGGCTAGTTCACCGCCTACGTCCCTATACGTCTTTAGTCATGCCTAAAGTGGGTGTGGTTAGTGGTACGGTAAACCGCTCTTTTATTACCTCATCTGTGTGCGCCTCTAGTAAGTCACATGGTTAATGGCGGCATTGTTTTCCTCCTACAGAGGTGTGTCTCTAGGAGTCTTGCAGAGAAATACCTGACTGGTGAACACAAACATGGAGAGCAGAGCCAGTTAGCAGGAGAGGGTGACAACATAATGAGACCAGGTAAACTAAACACAGCCTGCCAGTCAGAAAAACAGACCTCTACTCATTGCTAGGTCAAGTTACAAGGGAGCATTGTGCTGTAGAAGTAAGCCTTTGCCAGTACACAAAGGGACTTGGGTGGGAGGGTTTGCTGTATCCCTCCAGAGTGTGGTGCAGAAAGTTTGATCTCTAATCCCCAGGGGACTGGATTGTATACGGCTGAGAGGATAGCGACCCAGGCCAGAAAACTGGCAGGAATAAATTTCTGCCTACAGAATGTTCTTCTGAAAGGGCACACAGGATTCTTATTTGAACTGCCTCTTCTAGCTGTCCTCCCTGCCTGCACACAGAGGTTCATGCAAATGGCAACCCTAGTAGGGGAAGATATCACATTAGCCAACTAGGAAAAAGAGTGAGACCAATATCTTCTGAGCTGGTTATTTTCAGTCAACTGGACACAAACCTAAACATATCTGGGAAGATGGAATCTCAATGAGCAAATGCCTCCATGAGATTGACCTGTAGCAAATCTGTCGAGTATGGAAGGGCCTAGCTCATGTGTGGTGCCATGAGCTTTAAGATAGGCTGTGCAAGCCAGTAAGCAGCATTTCTCCGTTGATTCTGCTTCAGTTCCTGCTTCCAGCCTTGAGCTCCTGCCCTGGCTTCCTTCAATGGTGGACTGTGATGTGGAAATTTACTGTGAAGTAAGCCCTTTCATTCCCAGGGTACTTTTGGTCATGGTGTTTTATCACAGAAATACAAATTCTAACAAAGACACTTTCCATTTCAGCTTACTGTTCCTGCTTCAATGTTTTGGTAGTTAAGTTTATTTTTCTGGTTTGTTAATTTTGTATCCATACTTGGAGTTTTGTAAGTGAATTGTTGAGTTACTATCTTATCTTATTTCACCAGGAAAGACCTTCCTGACTGCCTATTACTGTGCTACACCTACAAATATCTTTACTATATTTCTACATATGTAGTATTCTAGTCTTTTCATACCATCGGCCTACACACTTCCCCTTTTATTAATATTTCCCCCTTTTCTTCCTTTCTTATTTCACCAGTTAAGTAATGATAACTTGCTTTAAAATCCTATAAATCACAGCTTATCCAGCCAATACTACAATTCCATTGTTTTTGAACATTAATGGGGGATACACATGAGATATAAAAAGGTCTCCTCAGCTAAGCAGAACCAGCGATGTTCTCTCCTCCAAAATAACTGCAAGAAATATAATTCCCTGTGAAGAGAACCCTTTAAAAAGGCCCACTAGAAAGGCACAGAACTCTATATTTCAAGTCCTAAAAATAAGGAACTGCTCAACAAGATTGTACTACCCAGAGAAGCTGTCCTTGAAAACTGATGGTTCAATAGGGGTATCTGAAGACAAACACAAATTTAAAAAAAACTTGACAAGTAACAAAGCACCACAGAAGATTCTTAAAGGAATACTACATACTGAGAAAGAAAACAGCCTCATCCACAGAAACACATGACCAACAAACAAAAACAAAACAACCCTCAAAACTAAAGTTTATCATACATCAGCTCATCAGCTGGATTAAACGTCTGTCTACAGAACATTCTGTCCAACAGACAGGGACTACATATTCCTTTCAGTGAGAAATGAAACATTATCCAAAACTGATCATAGACCATGAATAGCACTTTAACAAGTGGAAAAAACAGGGACAATTCAGTCTTGTATCCCATCAGATCATAGAAAAATAAAAGTATGGGTTAGCAGGAGGAGAAACTTCAGAAATTGCACAAATGCTTGGAGACTGGACATTCCACTTCTGAATGAACATCAGCTCATTGGAGGGATCAGGGAGAAAATTAGAAAATTCCTAGAAACATGTAAAAATGAGAGCACAACCTCAGTCCTTCTAGGATACATACATTAGTTCTAGAAGCAATCAGAGATTGCAGATAAATAACCTAATGATGTCCCATAAGGCTCTAGAAAAGCAACAAGAATCAATCCTAATAAAGATTAGGGCTGAAATTAATGAAATAGAGATTAAAGCAGCAGTGCATAGATTCCATAAAATAAAGGGTTTGTTATTTGACTTCAATAACTCCCAGCCAAACTGATACAAAGAGAGACTGGACTAAAATAAATAAAAATGGAGCTTCTGCTTTGGCTTTAATCAATGATGGACTATAACCCCAAATCCAAAGAAGACCTTTCACTCCCCAAAGTTTGCTTTGGTCAATGTTTTACATCTGCAGCAGAAACCAAACTACAATACCATCACCCGACAAAAGCTCAGTATACTTCTACTCTAGTCAGACTTTGAAAACACCTTTTTATTTTAAAGTATGTCATCATCCTTGGCTCATTTTCACTCGTATATCACACCTCCTTGTACCTGACCCCTGCAGAAAGAAAAAGTCCACCTTCTGCTTTTATGCTGTGCACATCTGCATGTATTTTCCTACAGAATACAGAGATGTTTTTCATCTATTTCCTTTCTTGTTTTCTCTTTCCCCTCCCTTATGGTACATTCCTCCCCCCCATAGAATGCACACACACACACACACACACATACACACACACACACACAATTCTGCATATAGGAGAAAAATGTGAGTGATAACTGTCCTGATTCAGATTTGCTTGACATCACGATCTGCAGTCCCATCTACTGTCCTGCAAATAACATAATTTTAGTTTTGTAGCCAAAAGGAACTCCATTGTGTGTATCACATTCACTTTACCCATTTATCCATCTATACTGGATGTGAATAGTACTGTACTAAGCGTAGAAATTCAAGCATCTCAGTGGTACCCTGACTTACGTTCCTTTGGGCTCCTTTGGAATGGCAACTATAGATGGCATTGTAGATTTTGAAGAATTTCCATATTGATTTCCATAGTGGCTATGTTAATTTACAGTCCCACCGCCAGTTTACTCACCACTCTCATGTCTCTCTCAGACCATTTGTTTCCTAACAATTCTGATTGGGATGAGATGAAATCTCAGTGTAGCTGGAAATTGCATTCCCAGATGGCTTAGGATGCTGAACATTTTGCGCAAGAGTCTCTTGATAAATATTCTCTGGTACTGTAAACAGACAGGCCCTGGGAAAAGAATTAGCTTTTGAGGTTCACGGTGAAGAATCTAAAGAAAGCAGTGAAGCAAATGATGGATAGTGGCACTCCAACAGGGAAATCAAACCCTCAGTTTCCCATTTTGACCTTGAATTCACAAAGAGAAACTTGTCAAACATGTGACTAAACAAACTTGGGAATTCATTTATTGACATATGTACTATGGGAAATTTTCCACAGTTATGAGTTATAAGCATTGCACACTCTTTCCCTAGAAAATGACAAATCATTTAAGAGTTAGATAGCTCCAAGAGTCCACAGACATTTCTGTGTCCCAACTGTTACCTTACTGTGCAGATGGAACCGCCAGGTTAATGTTAATGATTTTCCTTGTCGTTCTTACATGTATATCCTGAAATAAGAGTTAACTGGGCTGATTGATTTACCAACACCTACTTTTCCATCAAACACACATTAAAGATCTCAATGAGGTACCAATTCTTGATGGAGGACAGAACATTTTAGTGACACAGGCGGGGTAACTGGTGGCAGAACACATTAAAGCTCAAATTAGGTAATTGAAATCTCTGCTTCAACTTGTATAGGACCAAAGGAAGATTAAAGCAATTGAGACCTAACAATTGAAATTCTCATTTATAAAAGAGTCATAAGATCTTACACAACCCTGTTACTCATTTTTTTTCTCCAGTAGAGAACAAGAAAACAAATAATGAGATCTGTGAACTCAGGTGGATTTTTAAAAATGATGTTAGAATCATAAATAGAACAGTCATTGCCTACTTTTCTGGGTGGTTTAATTGAAGGATCAGTTCATCTCTGGTGCTTCTTAAAGTATTACTGCATCTATTTGGGCAAGAAGGAATTTATTCTAAACAGATACTTATACCCACCTCCCTTTGGCTGTTAGGCTATTGAAACAATGGATTCCAAGAAATTGGAGTTTCCCAAACTGTCCTGTGTTATGAGCTGGGAAGCCTATGGCTCCAGTGGCAGCCAGAGGGAGGCTTGTCCTCTGGAAAGAGATTTTACACAGTCTAGACAGATCATCTTTCAAGGGAGTCTGGAGCTGAGACATGATGGGTCAGTGGTGGCAAAATCTCATCTTTGGCAGGATTGCTCAGCTGTGTCTATCTCTTGTCCTCTCTTTAAACTCCAGCCTCATGTCACTATTCTAGAGACAGACGTGGGTTGCACTCTGTCTCCTCACCTGTTCCTCTTCTCAATGTGGGCACATTGAAAAAACTTCCTTTTTCTGATAATTACTATTTATTGTGTCTTTTGTTGGGAATGCATGGCTGAGCCTAGTCTGTTATGGTCCACTAAGGCCCTTCTCAAACACTAACAACTTCAGTAGCAATGTATTTTATAGTCATGTAATTGCATTTTGATTACAATCACATTTTATGAAAATATCTATAGTGTCCCTTTAGTTTCTAAAATTTAAATATAAACAATTATGAGTAAAGTTGACAATTATTTCTGGACTATCATGCCTCCAAATTTTATTGAGACACAACAGCCATTTTCCGCCTAACAACCAGGACCTGAAAGGCATTCAGTTTTCCCATGATTCTAGTCTTGACAAGTATTTGCACGCCCTGAAGATGCCATACGCTCCAAGATGCAGTCCATCAAGTTGTCCAGTTCTTAGTTGAGAAATGTTAGTTTCCCCACCACAGGGTAAGAATTTTCCTGAAAAAAAAAGGCTTTTTGTCTAGAGAAGAGTTTCCCTAGAAGACAAAGTCCTCCCCTCTGGTAAACAGCACAGGTTTTACAACCTTCCTCAGCTTTTCTGAAATCAGGTAGCCCCATATGACTTAAGCTATTGAGGCTGAAACACCCTCACTTGGATCCTAAATATAAGTAGAACTTTTGTGACTTAAAATTAGTGCTCTTACTACCAGCTGCTCAGGGTGTGACCTAGTCATTGTATGACTC